GTGTTCCGAAAACGAGCGACCCTCGCCCACCCCCATCGCAGGATCAGGGTTGTTTCGAAAACGAGGGACTTTTTCCTTGACACTTGCCCACCCCATGGGATGTTCCGAAAAACATGGTGGTCGTCCAGCCCGGAGGCGTAGACTTTTGTGACCACCTGCCCACCCCAAGGAGTGTACCGAAAGCAAACGACCTTCGCCCACCCCTTGAGCAGGGTGTTCCATAAACGAAGGACATTGGTCTTGACACTTGCCCACCCCATGGGATGTTCCGAAAACATGGTGGTCGTCCAGCCCGGAGGCGTAGACTTTTGTGACCACCTGCCCACCCCAAGGAATGTACCGAAAGCAAGCGACCTTCGCTCACCCCTATCGTAGGATCAAGGGTGTTCCATAAACGAAGGGCTTTGGTCTTGACACTCGCCCACCCCTTGAGCGGGGTGTTCCAAAAACGAGCGACCTTCGCCCACCCCTATCGTAGGATCAAGGGTGTTCCATAAACGAAGGGCTTTGGTCTTGACACTCGCCCACCCCTTGAGCGAGGTGTTCCAAAAACGAGCGACCTTCGCCCACCCCTATCGTAGGATCAAGGGTGTTCCATAAACGAAGGGCTTTGGTCTTGACACTCGCCCACCCCTTGAGCGGGCTGTTCCGAAAACGAGCGACCTTCGCCCACCCCTATCGTAGGATCAAGGGTGTTCCATAAACGAAGGGCTTTGGTCTTGACATTCACCTCTTGAGCGTGGTGTTCCGGAAACGAGCGACCTTCGCCCACCCCTATCGTAGGATCAAGGGTGTTCCATAAACGAAGGGCTTTGGTCTTCTCGCTTGTCCACCCCAGGGGGTGTTCCAAAAATATGGTGGTCGTCCAGCCTCGAGGCGTGGACTTTTGGGACCACCTGCCCACCCCAAGGAGTGTTCCGAAAACAAGCGACCCTCGCCCACCCCTATCGTAGGATCAGGGGTGTACCGAAAACGAGAGACTTTTTTTCTTCACTCGGACGACCTGCCACTGAGGTCGAAGAAAAAGCACCAGATACAACAAGATACAACAAGATAGGATAGTAATCGATCATTTCCGTTAGTATCCTGAATTGTATAATTACATCGAGTGAGATAATAATAGGAAATATTCAATGTATTCGACTTCCCTTTCCAGGTTGTGCATGATGGCCAGTGCTCGAATTCCTCGACCTGCCAATGAGGTCGAAAAGGAAAAGATCGAACACAACATGATATAATAATATATGATCGTTTTGTTAGTCATTCAAATAATAATCTCCACCGTGTCCATATGCATCACAATCTCCTCAACATTTTGCCCAAAATTCTCAAACAATGAACATCTCCAAAGAATAGTACTAAAAGACTCCATGTGTCCATAAACCACGTGTTGGTCAAACACGACCACCGTACAAGAGTTGAGAATAGTTTTGTACCTGAAGGTCAAGAATACCACTCCAACTTGTCATACCTTTCCCAAGGAAGTTGATTTCTATTCGTTCCTTTTGAAATCGCCACCGGTGATCGACATCCTCCAGGCTCGTCCCTTTTTGTCACCCTCCTTTGATGGATCCATGGTCGTCTGTTTCGTCCTCGACACTTAACAGCTAGTCCGGACTTGGGTTATTTCATTGTTTCCTCGATAAGAATTCAGAGAGATATTATTATCCACATTATATTCGAGTTATCCGTTTTGCAATGCTCCACGCAAGAAAAACAAGAGATCAAATATAAATATCACAATCCCCTCGACTTAAGACATGCTCAAGCAATGACGCACGCACACTGCGTGTGTACGGATGGGCAGTTGAGGCAGACAACTCATCAAATCCAAACAGTTTTTAGGTCAAGTGTCTCACCCTTATAAATAGGGGTGAGTCTTTCTTTTTAGATACGATCATTTTTTACTCTACCTTTGATAATTGATTGAGCAAACACTGACTTAAATTTCAGAGGCTCTTCACCGAAGAACCCTTTTAGTGTGAGAGTTCTTTGTAGGTGCATGGCGTTCAACCGGCGAGAAGGATGACGATTACTCGAATTCTAGCCGGTCGAAGAGTTTTACGTTACCAAGGTGGTTAAGCCGAAGCCCATATCCAGACATTCAGTTAAAAAAAAAAAAATTCAACAATGGAAGCCAAGACAAGCAAGAGTCAAGCAATTACGTGCAGTTATCTAGTCCCGTCTGAGTATTTTCATATGGCTGACATTTGGTTGCTTGTTTCGAGGCTGAAAATACGGCAGTCTCACATCAATAGTTCCAAGGGATTGTTCACGGTTTACCTTGTGGCCGCCTATAGCTAGCGGCCTATAGGAACGATGGTACCCGGTAAGGTTTTCGAGTGTTACTTTCATTTGCACCACAAATATTCAGTGAAACTCAGGAAAGAACAACGCCGATCAATTCAGAAGGCTCCTAAATACGAAGCAAACAGTCGCCCTATATTCGCATTAAAAGAAAGTAAGTAGTCGCAGACATCTCTTTAGCTTGATAGATACACACAATAACACTCCAAAACTATGGTATTAATCTTCATAGAACCATATCGAGACACTCATTCAGATATCAGCCCCGCAACATTTTCTTCTATTGTTTCACCCGATTTTGAAGCTGGAGAATGCCCTCAAACCTCGATGCTCTACTTTCTGGTCTTATCATAAACTTCAATGAATCTCTTATGGACCCCATATTGATCAACCAGATGTCTTGCAAGATCTTCAATCACGCCT